AGAGCGTACTAACCACGGTCGTGAACCTTGGACAAAGAGTAAACTAAGGAAATATTGATTGACACATACTGTCCAATACATGACAAAGTGAAACAAGAGCTGGGCGGCGTGAAAATTGTCTAACATAAGTTGTCTTTACTTGCTTTAGCTGATTTTACACATTTGAGAAAAATATTCTACTCGTGAAAAACATTTCGTATTCAGGTAGGAGGTGAACATAAGTAATCTAGTGATACAGCCGAACTCACGCTAGATTCTAAAAGACGTACCCATTCTGCTTCCTCCATTCAACCCTAATCCCAATCCTAACCCTGAACCTCAGGCTAGCCTACCTTACCCTAAAACTGACCCAAGCTCTCACCCCCTTGAAATTTAGTCGAAGGCCTTGTCGAGTACGAGAGGTACGTACACCCATGCTCTACGCGAGTTTGTTCTCGTTTCGTTGTTTCTGATCAGAGGTTCGAAAGTCACTTAGAAATGTTAGGTGAATAAAATGTCTGTCTCAGCGATTGAGTTGCCGTCTTATCAACTACTTCCCAAAACTGGCCTTTTTGTTTTTGTCTACAATTGGCAAATTATCTCCAAATGACCGAAAGTATCATGTGAGGCAGTCATCGACTAGTACCATCCTTTTTACTGGTTTGCGATAAACAAATTGTTTCTAATTAAGTGCTCGTTTAACAACTGCAATCCACGTGCGCACACTACGCCCTTTTATCGCTGCCCCTGGCGATGGGTTCGAAAGAAAAAAAAACGGAACGGCAGGCGAGTAAAATTATTGTTTAGATTATCATCTGCTTCCTGGAACACGCTTTCTTGCTCGTATCAGGGCTTTTAGTGTCTTCTTGAAACAAGAACTTGCAACATACTGGCTAATGCGATTCAGGTGCTATGCTTCAAAACAGACACTGACTAAAGATATTCGCGTGTTCAAGGCACGGCTACTTGCGGAACGTCATAATCGAAGGATTAATTAGTCCCATTCAAGGTCCAATTTGCCGAAAGTAGTAGGTTAGTCGTGTCACAAAACAAATTCGCGTTGATTTACTAT